CCACCTTTTGCAAGGCGAGGATTGAAAAAAAAAAAAAAAGTTAACGTGAGCTTCAATTAGACACATTTAGTTTATGTTGCAGTGATTTGGAAAGAAAATCTTAAAAAATTAAATTTAAAATACATTAACTAAATTCATTTAATATGATATTTTATAATTAAAATCACAAGTTCAATAGTTTTCATGTTATATATATAGATTTATTTGCTTGAGTAAATTTTAGACAAAGGGAATGGATTAAATGAAGTATATAAATAAAATATTAATAACAAATAACAAAAATCCGTTGTCGTCCAGCGGTTAGGATATCTGGCTTTCACCCAGGAGACCCGGGTTCGATTCCCGGCAACGGAACTTTTAATTTTTTTATCGTAAAAAAGAATATAAATTCCATATGTTCGTATTTGTTCTTGACATGGGTTGTCTCTTTAATTGTAAATGATTAAAATTATAAAATTAAAAATTTGTTTGCATTCGATTTTTAAAAATATTTTCTCAATTCCTCCGATTCTTTTTCTCCTGAATTTATGTCGGTGCATTCGTGCTTTTTATGTTTCATTTCTTATGTTTAGTGAATATGAATCTATTTTTTCAGTAAAAGAAACATAATATTGTTAAAGTTTGTACAAAGTGATAAGGAAAAAATAGTTATTAGAAAAAAAAAAAAAAGGAAAAAGAGTTTTGCTCATCATCTTTTTAGCCTATTTCTAAAAATAAGAATAAGAAAACATTAAGACCCTGTTTATTTCTGTTTTTGTTCTGATTTATTTTATAGAATTATTTATCATCTAAAACTAAAAATTAAAAAGCTTGTTTGAGTATAATACAATTACAGTTTGTATAAAGTGATGGGAGAAAAAAACAAAGGAGTCACGTTCTCCATCTTTTTAGTATATTTATGAAATTAAAAAAAAATTATAAACGGTTATGATGTATTTTAGTTTGTAAAAACATTTTTCTATGTTTTAATTTTCTAAAACAATTTTTAAAAAACAAATCATCAAATAGTTTTTTATTGTTTTTTAAAATTAGAAACTGCTTTTCAAAATAATTATCGAACAAAGCCTAAAAAGTTCCAGGTTTAAATAAAAAAAGAACACTTTCTATTTCCAGTGTTTGATAAATTAATATTTTGGATTTTTTTTTTCTTTCAAGAAGAAAAGAGAAGATTATGTAATAAATAAATTAACTAAATTCTGTAATTTTTAGAAAGTGGTTAAAGAGGTCTTATAAAAACAAAGGTAGTATATTTTATAGATAAATCAAATTACTGAATGATTACGTGTGTTAAACTAGACCAGGAAACCGCCCTTCTATCATTTTGAATGTGAATAACTTCCTCCCTATTTATAACAATTGAAAAATGTTGCTAGTTTGGACTTTTCAACTATGTTTCCCTTGTACCTTTTTGTGCTATGTTAGGAGACAATTGATTTCTTGATGCCGAGTGGCGTGAATTTCTTATCTCTCCTATATATATTTTGTGATATTCTGTTTATTACATTACATTCGATGATTTTTGTTCCTGCAGATTTATGTGGTTACAGAATGTCAATTTGAGGAGAGATGCTAGGGAGACACTTGTGAGGAGCCACAGATTGGAGTGTGTGCGTAAAGTGAATGCAATTGCAGACAAATAGACAATGAATGATTGAAATGACCTTAAAAGGTATATATCCCACACATCAACACTCAACAAAGTTCCACTAAAATATTTAGTTATATCGAATTTTAAGCTATTATTCCCTACTATGTAATTCATCACAAGTATTCGGGATCGATGTCTTTGATATATAGTTGTATGTACTACTATTATCTGGTAAGCATATCACAAAATAAGGTACAAGAAAGTGGCAATGTCAATAATTTCTCCATAGCCAGTTAGCCTAGTGAACTTGCTAATTTGCATCAACATAGAGCATATTATAAACATCATAAGTCCCAACAATTCATTTAATCTTGCTTAAAATTAGATCCATAAGCCTTGCGGCAACAAAAACTTGAAAGCAAAGCCATAGAAAATTAGATAGATTCGCCGGTGAAATTGAGATCATTACATACCAGCTATGTGGAAAGAAGAAAACCATATTAACATCTCTTCAGTGAACATTTCGGCACGATGGGACTTCTCTTCAGCTCCCATTGAAAAACGGCAAAGTGGGCAGGTTTTGTGGTGACCCTTTAGCCATTTATTTACACAAATCTTATGAAATTTGTGGGAGCATGGAAGGACACGGATTTCATCTTTGGTTTGTAATCTTGACAAGCACACACAACACCAACTATCCTCATTTTTCTCCATAAAATTGGATGCCGTTGCAGATTCAGACGAGTGCTGCTTGATATTTTGTGGGACAATAGATAGCAGGTAAGGTAAAGTGGCATCCTTATTCCTTGGTGCCTCTGTTAGACCAATTAAATTGAAAAAAAGTGATACCAACCCTTTGAGAGTCATTGATTTTACTGATGGGGTAGCATCTCTATTAGACCCTTAATAAGAAATAGAGTTGCAACTAATGTGTCACGCTTTCACAATTATAATTCTTATTTAGTCATAGTTAGCTGTTTTGCTTGGTTTGAAAGGATGGTTAGATGAGGTTTGTGTGACAGTTTCTAGCGTCCAAACACAAAGCTGTTACACCAACATAGATTGTTACTCTTGACCTAGATATCTCATTTCTTTGAGCGAGAATAATACCACAAACTATCGGATTCCTTTCTCCAGTGTAGTACCTAGTGTGATGTATTCATGTGCTTGATTATACTTTTTTTAACATCGTTTTTCTTAATTTTTATTGTTTCTTACTTGTTTATTTATTTCTTGCTCTTTTCATTAATTAGGGATGGCAATTTTGGAAGGAATCATTATCTTATCATCCTCATTCGAGATACAAGGTTTGGTAATTAGAGTGAAAAACTGGAGATAAAATAAACTATCTTATCTTATTCTTTTGTTGGGTAATTTAGACTATTTGTAGCATGTCAAATACTAAGTACGTTTAAAATTGTTTGGTGAATCACAGGCTAACTTGTGACAATAGCTGGTCATGTAAATATGCACAAGTAAGTTTAAATGTCTAAATAATTAAACTTTTATTCCAAAGAATAAAAGGGCGAGAATAATTTTTTTTGAAAATTTAGTACAAAATATGCTTACAAAATGCGACAAATGTTTTATAAAGAACTATCCTTAACAAAATTACAAAAGTGTTGTTAGAAGGAACGACAGCAGCATTTACGCAACGTGATTCACCCAACAATTTGAAGTACAATTTCTTTTGAAAAACGTGTAAATAGCATAATCAAATCATAGTTTTGAAAAATATAAATGAGTTTTATATAAATTCCGAATGAGAAGTTTATACTGTAAACTCAATATAAAATCAGATATATTAATTTATTCTAAACTCTATATAGAATTCACAAGAACTATTTTGTAGCTCAGATTTTATACACTCATACAACTCTGAATTATTTCTCTTTTCCACAGTTTAGCTGATTTCACACTCTATCAAGTATGTCGTTTGTGTAACAAAAGAGAAGGGTATGGAAGGTAGCCGGTCATGCTGTCAATAAAACTTTTTTATCAGTCGACTTGCAATACATAATTAACTTTATTGTATAACCTTTTCTCTTGACTTGACAGATATCCCCATTTTAACTTACTATATCGACACCTACTGGAATTAAAGCATCATTTGCCGTACAAATAAGAAAAACCAGTTTTTAGATCAATTTGTACAAAACAGAAAATCCAGTTCATATCAGTGAGGCATACTCCCAAATTATTTTTTCCCAACTCAAAAACACGGAAGACACAAGGAGAGAGATTTTTCTTGTACTCAAAACTTCATCATACAATTTGATATCATACCCCCCATTCATCCAACTGACTAGCAATACATTACAATGCAGATAATGGCGTGCAAGTGTATCTTGTCAGCCAAAAGTTCACGGCTATAAGGAGGATCTCGTTCCAAATACTTAAAATGATCTTGAGTATTTCTTTGTTTTGCTGTCATCATTAGAAACACCTTGGACTGGATTGTGTTTAGCATGTATAAACCACGTACCCATTAAGATGAGACACCATCTATCAAATATTGACTAATTTTTTGTGCCATAAAAATTTCAGTCCTTTTTTTTGTATTTCATCATTGCTTTCTTTACTATAAGAATCTTTGTAGGAATCATCACTATCTTCACTGATGTGTTTGCCAAAGTTGTATGAGTGTATGGTATGTATCTAAGCAAGTATCTTCATCCTTTAATGTAGGGCCGTTGGTATTCAGTATATAGGATATCAACTAGTCTAACATAAAGGATGTAGATGCATGCTTTCTTACATACCATATATTCCATATGTCCTTGACAAATATATTAGTAAAGATATGATGATTACAATAGATATCCATGTAGTGAAGTAGTGATGATGAATATATGGACAAAGGACAGAATGTTTTATGGTACAAAGAAATAATTAATGTGTGTTTAGCCTATATAAACAGTACAATCATTTGAGATGAGACATCATCCATGATCCATCAGGTATTGATTACTTTTTTGTGCCGTAAAATATTTAGTCCTTTTTCTGTATTCATCACTGCTTCCTTTGCTACAAGAATCTTTGTAGAAATTATCACTTTTTATTGGTGTGCTGACGAAGGTTGTATGGAGTGTATGGTATGTCTCAAAGCAAGTATCTACATCCTTTAATGGAGGGCCCATTGGTATTCCATATGTAGGATATCAATTTGTCCAACATAAAGGGATTTAGATGCATGCTTTCTTACATACCGTATACTCCATATGTCCTTTACAAGTATATTAATAAAGATATGGTGATTACAACAGAAATTTATGCAGGAAGGAAGTAGTGACTGTGAATATGGACAGAGGACAGAATGTTCTACTGTACAAAGAAGTAATCAATATTGTGTTTACCATGTATAAGCAACATCCTCATTTGAGATGAGACACCATCCATGATGTATCATTACTTTTTGGCCCTTCTTCTGCGTTCATCATCATTGCTTCCTTTATTACAAGAATACTTGTAGTAATCATCACTATTTTCATTGACGTTCTTGCCAAAGTTGTATGGAGTGTGTGGTATGTCTCAAAGCAAGAAACTACATCCTTCACAGTAGATGCTTAGCTCGATTGTCAGAAGTACATTAGTAATATTGATCAAGGTTCAAAAGCCTCTTTCTGCAAAACTATTGACATTATACATCTCTATATAAAATGCAGAAAACCTCGTTTCTTCAATAATGGTCAGTATCCTCTGCACTTTTAATTGACAATAAAGAAACCTTGTTTCTTTTAACAAGTTTGTATCCCTACTAAATATCACACGAATGATAATAAACGTTGAATCATGAAGAGACAACTCTAAAAGATACAAATTAAGAAATCTATTAGTTCAACATTTTTCATTTAAGGAAAAAGCATGTTTCTTCCCCAAAGTGTCAATAATGCAACTTCTTATACACATAGCGCATTTTAGGCTCACAGATAGTTTGATCATCTCAGTCACTTGTTCCTTTATTCTCTTCATTCACTGCAGATAAATTGGTATGATTTTCGGGTTTTGATGCATCTTCATCCTCAAGTATCTTCCCATCTCTTGGAACCAAGCAAGGTATCCCATTTTTTATCTGACAGGTAAAAAGAAAATTGAAAAACTTTATGCACATTATTTTCATGAATATAGAACAGCGTAACCCTTGAACTCGAGTATGCAGAAAGAAAGAAAATTGAAAGGTAAGAGAAGAAGGGAATTAGAACCAACGGGAAAGGAAACGCCAATAGCATCACTGATTAGAGAATTAGATTCCTCGCAGAACCTACACAAAACAGAGATGATTAAAGGTAGGGCAAAAACACTGAATTTTTTATGGTAAAAAAATAATTTAACTGAGGGAAATACCTCAAAGGGTGCTTAGAGAGAGGACAAACGAGGATCTCAGATAGGGTTTTGGCAAGGGGTGACCCTGCTTTTTGCAAAACCTGTTTGCTTACTCTCACCATTTCATTCCTTTCTTTCTCTTCTCTTTACCTGTCAGCTTCTCATTCTCTATTATGTATATTGTGTATTTCTTACCAATTATTTAAGATAGCTAAGGTTTTGGAAAATTATAGTATAACAATTGTTTTTAACTTCAAACTTCTGAGTTAACTACTGGGTGCATAGAATTATAGTATAGATATTTTCATACTTTTCTTATTATTTGTATAGTTTCAAAAGAAATTTATTTATTTACTTAAAAGTGTTTGATAATATTAATTCTTGTTTTTCTAATTATATTTATCGTTATTATGTTATCCTTTTAGATTTATCTTTACAATTAAAGGAAAGTTACATAATATTTGTAATTTAAATTCTATATGTGTATGCATGTCTCAAATTTTGTTTATGTGCAACAGTTATTTTTATAAGTAATTATTCTTTTAATATAACCGTTTTTTTTTTTTACATTTAGAACTTTGACTTTATAATTTATAAGACAATAATTATTTATGTTTGTGTAACTTCCATCAAAGTTATTTTTAATCCTTACACCAAAATAAAAGTTATTGTTAATCCTAATGTTTAGTTTCATAGAGAATTGTTTATCTATATCTATCTATCTATCTATATATATATATATATATATATATATATATATTTATTATATTAAGGTAGATAAAGAAACAAAAAGCAAAACTCACCAGAATTTAGTTATTATTGAAAAAATATTGAGACTTCTAGCTGTTTTTATTTTCAGTGACAATCAATTTATCACACGTTAAATTTTTTTTTTCTTATGGTGTATTTAATTTTACAAACGAAGAAGAGAGTGTAAGTGTAACCTGAGAAAAGGGGAATTGATTCCCACCAATATTGAATTTGGGTAAAAAAAAAACGCTGCTTTTAGTGTTTGCTCGCTGACACAGAGGTTTCTCAACGGAACAGAGAGAAGAGAGGCATGTTCGTCAATGGCGATTAAGCGTTCAGGACCAGAAATTCGGGAAAGAGAAGCTCCAAATGAATGGCCAGAGTCTCCACGCGACAACTATTTCCATTCCGAAACACCCTTTTCACGCGCCCCATCACAAGCGCCAAAACTTGCACTTCATCTTTGCGCAATGAAAAAAACCCAACATTCTCACTCTTCTCCCCTTTGCATTTCGAAACGCTTCTTCAACGCTCGTGCCACAGCGTTCACCATCTTCTTCAAACCCAAGCCCTTCTCATCACCTCAACCCTTTTCCGTAACCCCTTCTTGGCACGCACCGTTTTGAGTCGTGCCTCTCATTTATGCCACGTCGCTTACACCCTTTTGATCTTTCGACACCTTAATTCATTCGACACCTTTTGTGTCAACACGGTGATCAATGCTTATTCTAATAGCCATGTTCCTCATCAAGCTCTTGTTTTTTACTTTCACTCTTTAAGGAATGGTTTCTTTCCCAATAGCTACACCTTCGTCCCACTCGTTGGTTCGTGTGCAAAAATGGGTTGCATTGATTATGGGGGAGAGTGCCATGCCCAGGTTATTAAGAATGGTGTTGACTCTGTGTTGCCCGTGCAGAACTCTTTGATTCATATGTATGCTTGTTGTGGGGTTATTAGGGTTGCTAGGGTGATTTTTGATAGCATGTTGACTCGGGATTTGGTCTCGTGGAACTCAATTGTTGATGGGTATATGGTGGCTGCTGAATTAAGTGATGCGCACCAGTTGTTTGGTGTAATGCCTGAGAGGAATTTGATTACTTGGAATGTCATGATTAGTGGGTATTTGAAGGCTAGGAACCCTGGTTATGCAATGAAGTTGTTTCGGGAAATGTGCAGGATGGGATTGAGAGGTAATGCAAGGACTATGGTCTGTGTGGCCACAGCTTGTGGTCGGTCGGCAAGGTTCAAAGAGGGGAGATCAGTTCATGGGAGCATCGTGAGGATGTTTATGAGGTCAAGTTTGATTCTTGATACAGCTTTGATAGATATGTACTGTAAATGCGGGAGGGTGGAGATAGCACAGAGAGTGTTTGAGAGGATGACAAACAGGAATTTAGTTTCGTGGAATGCAATGATCTTAGGGCACTGCATTCGTGGGTGTCCTGAAGATGGATTGAACCTGTTTGATGTAATGGTTGGGATGGGGAAGATGAAACATGAAATTGAGACTGATCAGAGTCTGAGTGCAGATAGAGGTCTGGTGAGGTTACTCCCTGATGAAGTAACCTTCATTGGCATCCTCTGCGCCTGTGCAAGGGCAGAGCTGTTGAGTGAGGGCAGGTCTTACTTCAAACAAATGACTGATGTATTTGGTGTGAAGCCCAATTTTGCTCATTTTTGGTGCATGGCAAACCTTCTTGCAAATGTGGGGCATGTTGATGAGGCAGAAGAGTTCCTGCAGAGCATGGCAAAATTTGATGGGGATATGTCATATGAGTCATTGATATGGGCAAGTTTGCTTGGTTTATGTTGTTTCAAGAGAGAAGTCTACTTGGGGGAACAAATTGCTAAGCTTCTTGTTGACATGGATCCTAAGAACCTCGCATGTTACCAGTTTTTATTGATCATATATGCTGTGGCTGCTCAATGGGAGAACGTATCTAGAGTACAAAATCTGATGAAGGAAAGAGGAATAGAGATAATACCTGGAAGCAGTCTTATGGACTTGAAAAATATTGTTCACAATTTCAAAGTGTCAAACAAAGGGCAAGAGGGAATTGAAGCGGTAAACATGATGATGGATGAGCTAGCTCTCAGATTCAGGTTGCCAAGTTCTGATTTAGGCCAGTCATCAGTAGGCCAGAAAGAGAATACTAGCTAGAATAATGGTGAAGATGATGATGAAAGATAACCCAAATCCTTTAGCAAGTAGAATTCAATTCACATTTTTTAATAAGTTTTGTTGGTCCAAACATCCCATCCACTCAACCAAACCATATTTAAGATCTGAGTTTTATATAGATGCAAGTTTCTATTGGGGCATGCATACGGATACTTACAGAAAATACCAATTTTGTATTGAGGTGTTGAATTTATAATTAAGCTTTAGTCTTGCTTTAAGTTTACCATCGCATGTGCTGGACTTGGTTTCTCTTCCATCATGGATTTTTTAGCGCCCTGCTATAAATGGATTGGTTGTAACTAATCCTATTGTTAATGAAATGGATTGCTTAGAGGATACTAGAAAATATAAATTTATTCAAGTTTTGAAAATTATGACAAACTGAAATCACGATATGTATAAACTCACCCCTCCTTAACCATGTGATGTTGATTGTCATAAAGAATTAAGTTCATTTTGCGCAGTTGATACATGGGCTCATTTACTACTAAAAATCATCATAAAATATTTACAAAAGTATTTTTTATTCAATCTCAAAGTAAACAGAAAAAATAATAACGTGTAAAATATTGAATTAGAAAAGCACAATTTTCGAATTTATAAACACAAGGAGGATATTAAGATCCCGCACCTATATTTGTAAAACAAATACATATTCTCCTTATTGCAGTTAAACGTGCATCCAACGGACGAGGGATTTTCCCCATCCTTAGAGCTTTCCTTGGTACTCTTAACCTTAATCTACGACAACTACTATGCTGTCAAAGATGATAACGAATCATATGACATGTTAAAATTTGTATCTTTTGATTGACATAAATCAGGATAGAAATAAGTGCAGATTTTTTAACACGATCTCATGATATTAAAAATTTAATGCAAGTTTTATTCATTTCACAGATGAAGCTATCCAGACTTGGAAAATTTTAAATACATTGCTTCTTCCGTGATGGTCTTGTCCATGACAATTCATCTCCAATGTGCTCTAGTTTTTAACGATCATCTTTTTGTTTGAAATAAAAGTCTACAACGGTCAAGGTCGGTGTGCTTGAACTACATAGCCAGCGAATTCACTTGTCGCTATACAGATCCTGAACGGTAATAATGAATTTCGAATATTCTCAGATGCTTTTGAAGCATAATAACGAATAGAGTGCGCCTCGTTGATATACAAGATTAGTGGTCCGTGACAAAAGAAGAGTATGAATCAACCCTGAAACATGAAGCGTTAATCTTGGGAAAGCAATTCAAATATAGTCCGAGTGTTTCGTTATTGTACCAACTTTGCATTACAATCACAATGTGGTCTTAACAGTGTCGTTCGTGATGACAACATATGAACCCCGAAACATGATGCTAGCAACACCTTGGGAAAGCTGGTCAAATAATCTTCAATAACTGCTTTGTTGCACCAGCCATACATTTGAAGCATAAAGCAGCCTTAACAGTGGCGGCCACCACGAAAGCTAAGGTAATTCTGACCCGTGCACAAAGTTAATTTATATATAATTTCCGTTAAATTTGAAGTTGAAAAATAAATGACAATCAATTTTAAACCATTGAATATTTTAAAAATATGTGCATAAATTAATTTGAACCATATATTATTATTAGAATGTATGTTTTGGTTAGAAAGTACGATAATTAATTCCCCAACTATAAAACAAACAAACCCATAGACTGAAAGATAAAACAAACAAGTATATGGCATAGGTACATCTAAATGAAAGATCTTTGATAAACAAAATAAGCATAGCATAAATCCACATGCCGATCTTTTTGATTGAGAATTTATGAGTTTAACTAAATCATTCAAATGCCCATTGGTTTTCCCGACGAACTTCATCCTCTTCCTCGGGAGTGAAGTCATTCTTAATGTTAAAGGTCTTGCGAATTTCCTCTGGAGTCTTCCCTTTGATCATGTCTGCTACAGTCTGGCATGTAAGGTCCAGCAGGCTCTTGATATTCAAGTAGTTTGCAGCCTATAAAAAAATGTCACATCAATATGTAATATTACAGGCTTAATCTACTAAATCAACAGAGTATATGTGGGCATTACATTGCACGAATAATACAAATCTGGAAAACGAGGAAATGCAATAGCAATTTGCAAACTATAAATAGGAATGGATATGGTTTTTCTAGTGAGAATTCACTTTAATTGTAAAAGCATAACACCTCGTCCATTGATGATAAAATTGATAGTTGAATATATATGCAAAACAAACTACTTCAATCAATGAATCATGGATTGAACTGCCCAAAATTAAACTACAGTTAACTTTTATCTCAAGGAATAATGAATGTCATCAATGTGAATGTACAACTCCACAGTTCAATTATAAATTTCTTATCCTCGAATAAGTGAGACCCGCTGGTGAATTTAACATGCTGCGTGTATCATTTATGAGTAACTCCATTTAATTAAATCTGGCCCATCATCAAAAAATGCAAAATGGTCAACATAATTAGACAGAAAAACTGGGCAACCAAGCCCCAAAAAATTTGGATATCATAATTAGGATCTCTATCACAACAATTTTGGAATCCAACATTCAACATACAAATATAAAAAAAAAGAAAAAAAGCCATAAAAAATGGCAAAAAATAAAATATATACAGTCAATTATAGGCAAATTCCCACCAATATTAGGCAAAAATACACAGTCAAACATATACATAAACAATATGTTCCTTGCAAAATAAACATAACCAAGCAAAATAAACATAAAATCTCAACCCATACCCACAGCGACCCTTAACAGTCACGTCTCGGCAAGGGTTCACAAAATTGGTGCAATCGCAACTGCATACAGTTCGAAAGACTCACCAACTCCATCGCCAATCACAACAAACATCATTGAACAGAGCCAAACAACGATACGAACTAAACAGTTTTCAAATTTCAAAAACCCTAACCTAGCCCCCAATCATTACAGCGCCAACAAAAAAAAAATTCCACAATCAAGAGAACAGGGAATAGATTCGTATCACGAGAGAAAAGTGAAATTCGAACCGACCAGGATGAGATCGAAGAGAGTGGCTTGGTCGACTTTGACGAAATCAGCGTCCCAAGCCTTGAGATCATCCTCGGAGGGTTTCTCTTCGGGATTGGCGACATCGACGTGCTTCTTGCAGTATTCGATGACCTTAGCCAAGATCTTGCTCGTGACGTTGGGAAGAGGGATGCCACTGTCGGCGCAATCGTCTTCGATCATGTGCTTAATCGTCTGCGACTCCAAAGCCACCGCCTCGTCCACCTCGAAGGGCTCGCCGTCGGAACTCTTCAAGGTGATCTTCCTCGTGGACGACATGCTTGGATTAGGATTTGGATTCGGATTCAGATTCGCTGAAAAGGGGGAAAACTGAAAACCCTAACTTTTCTTCGATTGGAATTATGAAGTTAAGAAAGACATCCAACTTTATAGTGAAACGAGACGGTAACCGATTTTATCTTATTTTATTTTATTCTTGTTTGGTTTATCCATTGACCATTGTGTTTGTTTGTCCTACGTGGCAAATAGTTGTTGAAATATGATTTTTTATTTAGTTTTTTTTTGTAAATTTAATTCTTTAAAAAATTATTTTTTTTTTACTAGTACTTTGTTAATTATACGATTGAAATGTAATATCAACGAGATATATTGTTAAAATCATATATTTATATTTTTTAAAATAAATTTTTAATTTAAAAATTTGAGATTTTTGAAATTAAAACTATAATTAAAATATTATGTTGTCATTATATATCATATTTTATAATTAAAATTTAATATTATATAAATTAAATCAAACATAACGTAAGTTTGATATATTAAAAAATAATAATAAATTACTAATAAAAATATATAAAAAATAATTAAAGAACTTATTTAAAAATTAGAAATACAAATTTTGTATGAATCAAAATATTATTTAATTTTTTAAAAAAATATAGACATAAATATAAATTTGTTAAAATAAAAATTAACTTATTATTTTATCATTTAATAATCTTTTTAAAGTTAAGATTCAGATCAACTGCAACGATAATTTATTAAATAAAACATCAAAACATTAAAAAGAAATTTTTTTAAAGTATTGTTATTTTATATGTTTTAACTTATTTAGACTATAAAAATATTATGTCCAAAGACTAATGTTAAACAAAGCTAATGCTTTATTAAAAAATTCATTATGATATACGTTTTTTAAATATATAAAAAAAATCATTATGAAAACCATCACTTGACACCCTCTCCCAAAAAAGACATGACTCGGCCCAAAAATATTGATATTTGCACTTGCCTTTTACTTCCTCTATTTTTTCCCCTTTCATAAAATTTTTAAAAATGATATGTTAATAAATTTTAAAATATGTTAATACTAATTTTTTGTTATATTACTTATCTACCGTGTTAGTTGACATGGATCAGTGAAGAAAAAAGTGGAAATTTAAAAAATAAAAACACATTAATTATTGCAGATAAACTTATAAAAAATTAATTATTCATTAAATTTATAGAATAATAAATTAAAAAATTATTAAAGTGTCAAAAGAGAAAGAGAATAAATTTCAGGATCAATTAATTACATTTGAAAATATTTTAATAGATAAGCATTATGAATCTTTCTAATAATCTTGTTAATAATTTGATTTGAGAAATATATTTTTATGTTATTTGAAAGAAAAAAATAATGAGAAATTAAAGTAGAAAAAAAAAAGAATTGAACAAATCTTTTATAACACTTTTTTAAACAGAGAAGATTACTTGATTTAATTTGATTTCTTGTCATAAATCTTTTTAAACTTTTATTACTTAACTTTCAACGATAATTATGAATCTATGGAACTAGTTAAACTATTTTTTAAAACAAAGATAAAATAAGAGAATTTTAGATAATAAAATTGAGTTTTATATAAAAATTTTTTTTAACTTCATAACTATTATATTTATGTTCATAAAATATATTTGTTTTAAAAGAAAATTACTTTTAAAAGACTTGATTCAAATATATAATCTTAGAAATTCTTATATGTAAAATTTATTAAAAATTAAATTATAAATAATATAATTTTTAAATCTGGATATAAAAAGTTGTTTTGTTAACTTCTTAACGAGTCATATAATAAACTTACTTAAAATGAGATACAAAATAAAAAAATGTAAAATTTTTAAAAATTTTATATTTCTAAATAAATTTAAATATAATTTTATTTCATATCTTAAATATAATAAATATTTTGTTAAAAATTTTAAAAAAAAATCTATACAATAAAAATTATAATAAAAATATTACTACAAATACTTTGTTTATTTATTTAAATGTAATATAAAGGATAAAAATATAAAATAAGAAAATATTAATTTAAGTTCTTCAAGTTGATTTTTTTAAAATATTGTATTTAAACACAATTGACTAATAAAAAACTTTATTATATAAAATTTTGTAAAGTTCAACCTTTAAGATTGAATTCAAGTATTTAAAAATAAAATAAAATAATTAAAAAAGAATACATGTATTATATTAAAATTTTAAAATTAAAAATTTTATTACGAGAGACATTAGCTATCTAAGCTATCTTAAATTTTTTACCTAGTCTGTGGTGTGTTTTGGACTTTTAAGCTCTCTTCAATAGTAAAAAAGAAATTATGAAACTATAAATAAATATTTTTTTATTTTAATAAAATTTTATTATAATTAATTATTTAAACTTAGCTCTAAAAGTTAAAATTAATATTTTTTATTTTTTATTTTACTTTCAAATGAATAAATATCAATGTAAAATTTTTTATTATAATTTTTATTGTATATCAATTTTTAAAGAATATTTTTAAAAAAATTTTACAAATTTTTTTTTACTGTTTTTGATATATAAAACTAAACTAAATATAAATTCACTTGAAGATATAAATTATTATTCTCTAAAAATTTTGTAAATTTTTTATTAATTATCTTATTTATTTATTTAAAAAAATTCACAATTTATTTTTGGTTAGAATACTAATTTAATTTCTATGCTTGGTGTTAATTTAAAAATTATTCTCTGCAGTTAATATTTACATTTTAATTCTCATACAAATATATATATATATATATATATATATATATATATATATTTCAGTCCTTCTAACGTAACAAATACTAATATAAAAATGTTTATCCATACATAGGTTAAATTTTAACTTTTTTATGTAAAGAATAAATGAAAAAACTAGTCTGATATAAGGAGTAAATTTATTTAACCATTAAACTTAAAAATTTTATGTCCTACTAGTTCTTTTAGGCAGAACTGGACCAGACTACCCTCCACAATTATTCATCTGCTACGTGAATGCAAAAGAGAAATCTAGCTTCCATCGTTACCCTCTGTCTGCAGCATCATTCTACGTAACGACAACAGCTCACCATGACCATAAATACCTTATGCTCTCGTTATGTATGCAATCCATCCCTACCATATTTTCCTAATCTTCCTTATATACTGCCATTGCGGCCACAAATTGATGAAAATAAATGTGTCAAGCAGCATCTCATGCAAACTGCACCAATTGCACGAACTTAAAAACTAAGTTCTTGCAGCGGCGTTTTGTCTTAACATGATATCTGTAGCAAGACGAAGATTGACCACCAATGTTCACAATTGTGCAAATCAACTCAAACAAACAAATTATGGATATTGTCAGATCATACATAGAAGGATCAAGAGAAACCAACTTAACTAACCAAGAAGGTTTGAAATTATTAAATTTGAGTCCATCGATTATATTTTGAAAAATGTTTTGTAGATGAACAGTAATATATCTTCTTAATCTTTCTAACAATTCTCTCTTACTTTATAAAGTAAATATTCAATTAAAAATACATATATTTATTATCTTAAAAATATAACAAGTATTTAATAATTTCTTTATTTAATAATTAAAAATATTTATAACCTAAAAGGTAAAGTGATTTAAAATTATTCTTTATAAGTACGCCTTAAAATTCCTACACCTAAAAATGAAAAAGGAATAGAATAGAAAAAAATTATAATAAATGCAATGAATAATGTCATTGAAAGAAAAAAAATAAAAAATATTAAATATTAAATAAATATTAATATTAGAATATTTATAAACAGAAAATTATATTTGGCAGAGGATACTGACTTTTTTATTTAAATATTATAATTTTAAAAACTATTTATTAAATTATAGCAAATTAAAAACTATCTTCATGTTTGAATAAATTTGTCACATAGACAAAAGTTTCGCCATAACTACTAGCAAAAGTAATTATTTTTATTTTTTAAATAAATTTTCTTATAAATATAACAAAATAAATACGACGAGAATTGTTACTCATCTATTGATTTTTCTACAAGATTAGCAAAATAATAATGAAGTTTTGTCACAGCCAGCCTTGCAACAAATATGACAATTACATGTGACAAAATAATAATGAAGTAGAGAATAATCCAAAATTAGTTAAATAAAATACTTCCATTATGATAATAATGATTTATATTTTTTTAATTTTAATAATTAATTTTTACACTCATTTATTAATTTTAGTATAATTTAGAAATTATAAAATTTAAAATTTAGTATTAATATATAAATTAATTTTATTTAATTAAGATATAATCATAATTTGTATGTAGTTCATGTATATATAATTTATAAATATGTAAAAAGTAAATTATAAAATAATTTGTATGTAAATAATTAGATTTTTTTATTTAAATAACGTAACATTATTTATATAAATTTTAGTAAATATATTTTTATATGAACAATAATTTTAATTTTATAGTAGTAATATGTATGAAAATTTAGATGGTATTGTGATGTTAGTGATATAAATAATTTTTAATGTAAATTTAATCATAATTTATATATAAATGTAAATAAGATTATTTTTAATTAAGATAAAATTGATATTAATGAAGTTAAAATTTGTATAGAATATAGGTTAGTAATTTAGATTTTTTGAATGAAAAATTAATATTGAATTAATGTTAGTTAATTTTGTTAGTAAAAATTTAAAATTATGATGAGATTATACATAATATTTGCATAAATAATATAATTATAAATTTATATTTATGTCATTATGATGTGACAATAAATTATTTATAAATTTCTTTAAGTATTATGAAGTATGTATTATTAATTATGTTAGTGTATTATAAATTATTATTATTGAAGTTGATATTAATATTAATATTTTTTTTGTATAGATGGCATCATCTTCACAATAGTGTAGAGTTATTAATCTCGGGCTATAAGATTCATCACTTCTTTAGTTTCAGAGTATTCATGTTTCTGAACATATTTGGGATGGACATGATCACCTGATATTGAAGGTTAAGAAGAGTCAAAATATTTCTGGTGAATTAGAGGGTGTTCCTCAAGAAATTATTCTGCATTTGGAGTTAACAGGTTTTATTGGAGTGACTAACTTGTCTCAG